TGCCGTGGGAAAAACACTTTATATATAGTCAATATAGGCACAGAGTTAAATTTTTTTAACATTTTCTAATGGTGGTGTGCCTCGTGATTTTTTCAAAGTGTGCCTTTGCACAAAAAAGGTTGAAAAACACTGCTTTAGGGAAATAGGAAGTGATGTCATTCCATAACATACAAGGCATATACCAAAAGAGAAGAAGGTCAAAGAACATTCGATGAGGCAGTCCCAAAAGAAGATGAAGAGACAACATCAAAGACACAATACAACATGAATTAAGAATGGTTGAGGCTGCCAGAAGAGCAAGAGCCAGAACTTTGTGTCTCCCTCGCCACCAGAAACGGTAAAAGAGGAAGAGGAGGAGGAGGAGAACTGACTACTGCAAAAAGAACAGAAGAAGCAGAGTATCTTCATCTTTTTAAATCAGTGTTCAAGCACAGACATGAAACTGCATTGGTCACTATGACTGATGACATATGGTGAAGCTTAGAGGTAAAGAACAAAATCCTCATCCAGCAGTTTAGGGATCAGTATCATTAGTAATGCACAGTGATACATCTTTACCCTAGGGTGCCTAGGAGATTAATGGGAGTCTCGAAGTCTGAAAGCTATAAAAATCTAGATGGGAAGAAACTGGTAGAGATTCTAGCAAGATAGAGATTTCATAGCTTCAGAAATCAACTGTTTTCCTATATGCTGCTTGGAGAGTCCAAGCAGGGTTAAATTCTGTCTGACTGCCCTGGACTGAATTGAAAGATCTTTAGCCAGGTCTCCTCTTCTGCTTCTTCAGATTTTTCAATTCAGTTCTAGCCCAAAGGACATGTTTTCAGTGGTTCCAGCATATCAACAGAAATTTAACCTTTACTTGGACTTTCCAACCAGAAAAAATGTTTTTTTCATTCTGCAAGGAAATAAAGTCTGTCAAAGTTGCTTTTAATTTCCTGGCTTCTGCTTGTTGCCGGCGCTTGTTCTGGGCTTCTCCAGGCATGTATGGTTTCTCTGACTCTCTGGGCTATGTGAGCCGGCTTGGGAGCCACCGCATTCGCTTTTTGTATTAGCGCAGTGGTCAGTGGTGAGGGGGCCCAGCCACTGGCACTTGTTTCAGTGTTGTGGCATGACGGTGAGTCATGCGAGGACCCAGCCATTGCACCATTGCCGGTCACTAAATGAAATGTTCAGCGCAACAGTCAGTGGTGCGAGGACCCAACCATTCACGCCAGTGTTTCTGCAGGCTTGAATTTAGCGCTGTTTTTTGTCAGCTGTAGTAGTCGTGGCGTCCATTTTGAGTGAGGGAAACTTTTGGTGGCCATTTTGTTTTGCAATTTTGCCGCGTTCTTCCCTGCACTTTGGAGCGAGCCTTGGAGAGTGGTGGCAGCATGACTTCTCTGTCTCCCCCCCCCACAAAGTGGCAATTACTAAATAACAACGAGGTGTTGGTCCATACCTGAGGCCTCTCTCCAGCTGTTCAATTTGCAGGCACTTGGAGGATCTGATCTAGTGCCAGAGTTTGCCTCGTGGAGGCACCCTTAAGACTCATCTTAGCCAGTGACCTCTCCGCTTCTGATCCAGCAGCTACAGCTACTCCAACTGTGTTCCAGGTGGTGAGTGGTGACCAGAATGCACCTGCCCACAACACAGTGGCAGACAACCATCAGGAGGCAATGCAGCCAGGGCCCTCTAGCAGCAGGAGCCTTACCAGACAGGCTAGCAAAGCAGCCTCAGAGGCCATCTACAAACAGAGCCAGGCAGGGGGAAAGAAAAGATCAAAGTCCCAGGATCAAGTTGCCCCCAGAAGCCAAAGGGCACCAGAGAAACAACCTGAACAAGCCCAGCAACAACCGGTGGCTAGTCCTCCAATTCCTGCAGAGGAATTACCAGTGGCCCCAGCTCCTACTTATCAGGGCCCATCACAGTCAGATAGTGAGGATGAGGGCCATGAATTTTCTTCAGATGAATACTCTGAGCCAGCCAACTCCCTCAGGCCATCCATGGGTGAGAATGCTGATTTGTTCCAGTGCTTCTTGGAAGCAGAGGATTCTCCTCCAGTTCTATCACTGGCTCCACAACATCCTCTGCCCCGCCGGGCCACTAAGCGTAGGCGGCCTGTGGAAGACCAAAGGCCAGCCCTTTCCTCGGAAATGCAGGAGGTTATCACAAGGCCATATTCCAGGGTATTGCAGAAGGTCTCAAGCAATGTGTCAAGTGACATTGCAGGG